GAGTGTGAGGACCCCAGGGAGTGTGTGGACCCCAGGGAGTGTGAGGACCCCCAGGAAGTGTAGGAACCTGGGGAGTGTGAGGACCTCAAGGAGTGTGTGGACCCCAGGAGTGTGAGGACCCCGGGGAGTGTGAGGACCCTGGGGAGTGTGAGGACCCTGGGGAGTATGCAAATCCCCAGGGAGTGTGAGGATCCTGGGGGTGTGAGGACCCCAGGGAATGTGAGGATCCTGGGGAGTATAAGGACCCCGGGGAGTGTGAGGACCCCAGGGAATGTGAGGATCCTGGGGAGTGTGAGGACCCTCGGGAGTGTGAGGACTCCAGGGAGTGTGAGGACCCTGGGGAGTGTGAGGACCCTGGGGAGTGTGAGGACCCCGGGGAGTGTGCACACCCCCAGGCTGTGTGAGGACCCCGGGGAGTGTGTGGCCCCTGGAGTGTGGGGGAGGAGGCCTCGGGCTGGGGAAGGCTGTAGGCCATCCTCGTGGGGCTGGCAGAGCTGGCGCGTCCACCGGGCTCTGGAGCTCCTGCCGTCTGGGCGGTGGGGACCCGGATGGATGGGGCACAGGTCAGGTGGAGCCAAGGGCTGTTGTGGGAGCAGGGTGGGGACTGAGGGTCTGCGCCCCCTCCTCAGGAGCTATGCCTCACGGATCCAGCGCCCCTTCTCGGTGAAGTTCGACCCCTACACGCTGGCCATCGATGTGCTGGACAGCCCCCGTGCCGTCCAGAGCTCCCTGGAGGGCGTCCAGGACGAGCTACAGACGCTGGCCCATGCGCTGAGTGCCCTTGGCTAGGCCCGCGCACACGGCCCCTCCCCTGCCCAGGGCCCCGTCCTGGGGTGCCCAGGCCCTTCTCCAACCTCCCCCGGCCTCTGTCCTGCCCCAGAGCCTGCCTGCCAGGAGGCGCCTGGCCACACCCTGTCTCTACCCCCATCCCCGAGCCCCCCTCCCCACTCTCCTCCCCGAGCCCCCACGCGGCCCCCTCCCCACCCTCCTCCCCGAGCCCCCCTCCCCAGCCCCTTCCCCACTCCCCTCCCCGAGCCCCCGCGTGGCCCCCTCCCCGCGCTCCTCACCACGCTGTCTGCTGTGTGTGTCTGTTCTGCATGCACCCCAGCACTGCGGGGCCTGCGCTGCCCCCACTGCCCGCACCCTCCGCCATACCCCCGTGCGTTGTCCAGTAAAGGAAAGAGTCTCCCAGCGCTGTCTGGCCTCTGTTTCCAGAGACGGCCCTGGCCATGCCCCGTTGCAGCCTTGTTTAGAGGTTCTCTCCCTGGTCAGTCCGGCCTCCATGGGGACCCCGGATCTGACAGGACTTCCACCCCACTTTGCCTTGCTTTCCTGCCCCCCCCAGAACCCTCAGTGGGGCTGTGGGCAAGAGGAGGGCGCCCTCAGCCAGGAGGGGCCGGGGTCAGGTGATGCTCACTAGCGGGGGGGCGGCAGGCCCGCCCCACAGCATGGGGTCCCTTGAGTGTAGACCGTGTGATGGAGGGAGGGAGGGAGATGCGGGTACTCTAGATCCCCCACGCCCAGGGCAGCCCCCCACACCCCCCCGGGAAGGCCCCAAGCTACACGGAGCAGCAGTGGGATCCCAGGGCAAGTCCATAGACTCCGAGGAAGAGCCTGCAGTACGCGGAGGCCCCAGGAGGACCCCTGGGGTACAGGGAGGCTCCAGGAAGACTCCAGGGGTACATGGAAGTCCTGGGAAGAATCTGGGGGTACTCAAGGGCCCTGCAACACTGAGGCCAGAGCAAGCCTGGGCCATACTAAGGCAGCAGGGGCTGAAGCACAATGTTCTGAGGCACCCCCATCCGGTGGAAAGTTCTAGATTTTCTGGGCCACATATCCAGCGGAAGGCCTAGATACAGTGCCCCTGTGAACCACCCTTGGCCTTGGTGAGATGTCGGAGCCCGCTCAGGCCCCGAGGACAGCCCTGAGTCACACCGAGGATGCCCGGTCCACGGACAGAGGCCACGAGAGCCGGAGCAGCCGGGCACTCGGGGGAAGGCCCTGAGCGGAGCAGGGCCTGAGGACGGGGCGGAGCCCCCGGCACCGAGGCCCATGGAGGAGGTTGGCACAGAGCTCGGGCCGCAGCGAAGCCAGCCATGCGGGACCCCAGACTCTGGGCCCTGAGTCAGGACCCAGAACGCTGAACAGGGCTGCGGGCACACTTACATACCCGGGAAGGCTCTGGGCAGGGACAGATTCTTCTGTGGAGGGTGTGTGTGTGTGAGATGTTCGATTGTGGGGTTACAGTTGCACAAGTCAGCTGAGGAGACCATTGCTTTGTGTTCATCCCCGCCTCCGCTCCCTCCTGCCTTCCCTCCCACCCCGCACACCGGGTCCGCCTCGGCACGGGCTCTCCCTTTTCCCTCCATTTCTGGGCAAGCTTCCCCTCCCAAAGACAAATGAATGAACAAACAAAACAAGAAGAAAACAGCCAGTAGCAGAGAACAGACCTCGTATCTGCTTCCTGGCAGCCATTGTGATGAAGCTGGTTGTGCAGGAGGAGAGGATCTGAGGATCTGAGGATCTGAGGCTCAGAGGATCTGAGGATCTGAGGATCTGAGAATCAGAGGATCTGAGGCTCAGAGGATCTGAGGATCTGAGGATCAGAGGCTCAGCACCTTGGTGATCCTCTCCTGCCAGTGTCCTTCCGCCTCACCAAGAGCCAGGCCGAGTCCCTGTACCTTATCATTTCCTGGGGCAGAGGCTGATTGTGACCTAGGGCCTAAGTCACGTTGACTCCCTGGGGAAACCCCAAGGGACAGTGAGGAGGAGGAGGATCACAAAGGACAGTGAGGAGGAGGAGGATCACAGGGGACAGGGAGGAGGAGGAGGATCACAGGGGACAGTGAGGAGGAGGAGGATCACAGGGGACAGTGAGGAGGAGGAGGATCACAGGGGACAGGGAGGAGGAGGAGGATCACAGGGGACAGTGAGGAGGAGGAGGATCACAGGGGACAGTGAGGAGGAGGATCACAGGGGACAGGGAGGAGGAGGATCACAGGGGACAGTGAGGAGGAGGAGGATCAGAGGGGACAGGGAGGAGGAGGATCACAGGGGACAGTGAGGAGGAGGAGGATCACAGGGGACAGTGAGGAGGAGGATCACAGGGAGGAGGAGGATCACAGGGGACAGTGAGGAGGAGGAGGATCACAGGGGACAGTGAGGAGGAGGAGGATCACAGGGGACAGTGAGGAGGAGGAGGATCACAGGGGACAGTGAGGAGGAGGAGGATCATGGGGGACAGAAGGTCCTATGGCACCTGGAGACATTGAGGCAGCCCTGAGCCACACTGAGCCTCCCCTTCCCCCAGTCACACTGAGATCCCGAGGACCACAGTAACTAGGAGAAAGGTGTGAACCAACCGAGGCCCCAGTGGAGGCTCGGAGTCACAGCGACATTGGAGAAGACCTCCAGCAACATGGTACCCATGGGAGGCCCGGAGTCTCGCTGAGACCCGAGGGAGGCCCGGAGATCATTGAGCCCTGTGGAGATTCTGAGGAAGGCCCCAAGCCACGCTGACACCATGGAGACGGAGCGGAGCCCGTGGGGCAGCAGTCGGGCCATGGTGAGGCATTCACGGACACTCAGGAAACAGCTGTTACCCCACGGCTGGAAGAAGGCCCCGAGCCATGCCGACATGCTAAGAGGCCCAGTCCCTCGAGGTCCTGGGGTGGACCTGGAGATGTCTGAGGTGCAGAGCACTGCGGCGATCCTGAGTCCCCAGGAAAGACCCTGGCCTCCCACGGTCCCCCAAGAATACTGTGCGCCCCGTTAAAGCGCACAGAGTCCTTGTGGCTGAGACCGGTATTGAACTCCCGTCTGGGGCAGGTGGGGGGTTCTGTGTAAGATCTGGGGAAACAGGCCTTTGTGAGCCTGACGTCCGCACCCAGTTCAAGTTCAAACCCTTAGCCAGGCTGTGATCCCTGCTGAGCTGGGGCTGGGGTGTGTGTGGGGGGGGGCAGCCCTCCGAGCACTGTGGACTGCATAGAGGGGCCTCTGAGCACCACCGAGACTGACTGAGGCCATGGGTCCATGTCAAAGCAGAGGTGACCCCAGGAGACCTGCCTTAACTCTCACTGAGACCCCATAAAGGCCACGAGACAGGTCTCAGCCCACTGGGACGCTGGAGAAGAATGCTGGTCTTACTCAACCCTGGGTAAGCTGAGCACGGGGGGGGGGCCTGTGAGCCCCACTGGGACGGGGAGGGGGTGAGCCCTCTCCCCCAGACTTCCTTCCTGCCCCCTGTGGCCCCCAGCAGGTGTCCTCCATCTGAGCCTCTGCTCTGGCCTCCATCCTGCTGTGGGGCGGGGAGGGTCCCATGGGCTCCGTGTTCATGAACGCTGCATCCCTGGTGCCAGGATGAGGCCAGGCTCCTGCCCACGGGGTCCCGTGGCCCCGGTGCCTCCCCACGAGGCCTTGGCAGGCAGCGGGAGAGGCCAGGGCTCAGGTACCACGGGCCAGGCAGATGGGCTCCGCACCCGGCCCCTCTATGTGGCGCTGGGGCCTCGCTTCTGCGGGGTGGACGGGGGGGGGCCACTGGAGGGGCCGGGCAGCGGCACCAGGCCCCCCGCAGCCCCACTTCCGGAGCTAATGTGGAAAATGCTCTGGTTGGCTGGGCGGGGGTGCCATCAGCCCCTCATTAAGACGCTAATGACCCCCAGGGCCCCCGCACAGAGTGCTGAGCACGGAGATCTTCCTGCGGAGCCCCGGCCCCAGGGAAATGGTCCGGAAAGTGCAGCTTCAGCCCTGGGACCATCTGCCGCGCCCCCTTTGCAGACCCTGATGGGCCAGCCGTGAGGGCAGCCGGGGCCGGATGACGGGGACCCTGGGCTATAAAACCCGCCGGAGCCCCGCAGCCGCCAGCCCGAACCCGGCCGCCAGCCGCCAGCTGGTGCGTGCGCCATCGCCGCTCGCTCGCTCGCTCGGGAGGAACGGGAGTTTCCTTTAGCACCTCCCCCCAGCCTCACCCTCTGCACCCCCCAGGTCACCGTCCTTCCGCCATGGCCCTGTGGACGCGCCTGCTGCCCCTGCTGGCCCTGCTGGCCCTGTGGGGGGCCTGCCCCGCCCAGGCCTTCGTCAACCAGCACCTGTGCGGCTCTCACCTGGTGGAGGCGCTCTACCTGGTGTGCGGAGAGCGCGGCTTCTTCTACACCCCCAAGTCCCGCCGGGATGCGGAGGATACACAGGGTAAGCCTTCCCCCCCCCCCCGCTGTGGGGCGAGCTGGGGACCCGGGGGGGGGTTCCCCGAGGACACACAGGGTAAGCCTTCCCCCCCCTGCTGGGGACCCGGGGGGGGTTCCCGAGGACACACAGGGTAAGCCTTCCCCCCCCTGCTGTGGGGCGAGCTGGGGACCGGGGGGGGGGGTTCCCGGTCACCTGCCCGCACACTGGCTCCCCGAGGACACGGGGCTGGGGGAGGGTGTGGGTGCTGCCCTGGCCCCCGCCCCCCGGTGGCGGGACTCGGTGCATCTGCCATCTCACAGGGCGCTGTCCCGAGGTCAAGGCCGGTGTGGCAGCCCCGGGGTGGTGCCCGGGGGCCGGCCCCTGCGTGGGCGCGCCCGCGTGGGTCTGGCTGGGGCTCTGACTGGGCTCTCCTGTGTCTCTCTCCCCCGCCGGCCTCTGCCACCCCGGGCAGTGGGGCAGCTGGAGCTGGGGGGCGGCCTGGCGCTGGACCTGCCCCCGCAGAAGCGCGGCATTGTGGACCAGTGCTGCACCAGCATCTGCTCCCTGTACCAGCTGGAGAACTACTGCAACTAGACGCCCGTCCCCACCGCCAATAAACCCTTCCGCCAGCCCCGCGAGTCCTGTCTGTGTGTGGCACGTCAGGGCTGGGGTGGGGGCCCTGCCCGAGACCCCTCCCCGTGCACCCGCTAGCCTCCTCCCGGACGCACTCCGTGGGCGTGGGGGCGTGCAGGGGAGTGCCAGGCCCAGCTGGCGCCTTCCTGTCCCACTGTCCTCGGCCCTCAAGCTCCCTTGCCCCCAAGGGACCAGGGCCTATCAGCAAGCCACGGCCAGCCCTTCCCAGGCTGTGGCTTCTGTCAGGAGACAGAAGTTGGGCTGGGCAGATCCCACGGGAGAGCTGAAGATGGGGTCAGGTCCCATGGGAGAGGTGCAGAGGCCTCAGCGCCGGGTCAGACACTCTGAGACGCTGTCCAGTTCCTCGAGGGGGAGGGGGCAGGAAGGCCGGCAGGCCCCACGGTGGGGGACATGGGGCAGGGTCCTCAGAACTCCCCCTCACGAGGGCAGCTCACCTGTGAGGTGTCCATGAGACCCTGGAGACGGGCCACGGGCCGGGTCTCCTGGCCCTCACCTCTCCCCCAGCCGGCCAGGGCCTCGCACCAGATTCCTTCAGCCAGTGGCCTGGCCGTCCTCCCATGGGTCCCCCTAGGCCAGAGCTTGTGCCCGGGCTTGGGGGGGGGGACCGCTGAGAACACTGGGCTCTCCATTCGACGTCTGGCCAAGGCAACAAGAGCCAGCCAGGACCTACAAGGTCAGCAGGTGACCCCGGCTGCGCCAAGGCCTGGGCACCGTCTGCCACAGGCCAAACCAATCTGCCCCGAAAGCTCCGCCCGGCTGGGCTGGAGATCCAGGGCTGCACCTGGGCCGGCGGCCTGCAGAGCTCAGACGGGCCTCCGAGCTGGGTTCAAAGCCACCCTCCCTCGGGGTGGTCGGCCCGGGGGTCCGCTCCTGCAGGCCCCAGGACCCCTCCCCATCACCAGCCTCCCTGTGATCAGCCCCCCAAAGATGTGGTGGGCACAGAGCAAGCCCTGCCCTTCACGTGGGGGCCAGGACTGGGCTGGGCAGGCAGCTGGGCCCGGAAGCGGAGGGGAGGGGCGGGCTGGAGGCCGCACTCACACAAGGCCGGGTGCCCTGCTGGAGTGGAGGTACGTGGGTCCCCGTGGAGCCGAGCGGGGAGGGGAAGGGCGGCTGCGGCAGCCCCCACAGGGCCAGCAATGCCCCAGACAGCTTGTGAATTGGAGTGCGGGGCGCTGGATTTCATGGGGCTGGATCACGGTCACAGGACATATGGCGGGCAGGGGCCGGGCCCAGATGCCTTGGTTTAGGGGTAAACTCCCCCCCGTGGGGGTTGTGTGTGTGTGTGTGAAGATTTCCCACTCATCCAAAACCGTTGTGCTGAGTGCCCCCTCGGCCTGCCGGGCAGGTGCCTAGCTACCGACCCTTCGGAGGGCTTGCCCCTCCCCCCCGTCCTCCTCAGCTGGTGCAGGAGCAGAGGCCAGAGACAGGCAGGGTGGACTCCCCGCTGCCCACCCCCGAGTGGCCACATACCTGTCCTGTCTAATGGGGAGCAGTGGACAAGATGCAGCTGGTCAGGACGGCCAGGTGCCGGGGGAGGGGAGCAGAGGCAGACTCAGACTGTCAACTGGCACCGTCCTGAGTGCTGACCCCCGGTAACCTCGCTGCTGGGGGGGGGCCTGGAGCCCAGGGGCCCAGCTCAGCAGCCCTGCCAGCCTCGCCCCACCCAGCCAGCCCCTTCAGGGAACCCAAGGACCCCCCAGCCTCTGAGTCTCCGCCTGCCCTGCCTCCTGCACTCCTTTTGCCCAGGGGTTGTGGCCTGGCTGGGGTGGCAGGCGTGAGAGCCTCCCTCGGGGTGCTGGGCCCAGCCCCTCGGTCTCCCCTTGGTGTCTGGAGGTCCAAGGCCCCTCAGCCTCTCCCAAGAGTAGCCGCCGCCACCAGCCGGGTCTGCTTAGAGCCCAGACGCCCACGTCCGTAATGCAGCCAGCGCCGCGGGCCCCCTGTGCGGGCCCACAGCAGTGCCCGGTCCCCCGGGGCTGCAGGACTCCTGGCACGGGAGGACAGACACTCGGCACGTCCCCAGGGTGGTATTTGCCTTCTCCCGACCACAGTCAATATTGACTGTCCTCGCTGTCCTCAGGTCTGCGGGGACAGGGGAGGTGGTGCTGGGAGCCAAGGTGGACCCTGCCCTCGAGGACCTGGCTGGGTAGGGGTCCAGGAGCCAGCCTAGGAGAGACTAACCGGCGCAGGCCCGTGGAAGCTGGCCCTGGCAGATCTCGGGAAGGCTGGCTGATGGGCTGCGGCCAGGCTGAGTGGAGGGAGCCCCCCTGGTCACTGGATGGGGGACCCCCGGGGCACTGGGGGGGGAGACCCCTGGGCGCTGGAGGGGGAGACCCCGGGGCACTGGGGGGGAGACCCCGGGGCACTGGGGGGGGAGACCCCGGGGCTGTCTGCAGCCCTGTGATACTGCAGCCGGGCAGGGTGGCTCCCCCAGGGTTGGGCACAGGAGATGTAATTCACAGATACAGCCACTAGAGGGTGCCAGAACCTCACTTTTGCAGGACCCCAGGTCTTGGGGTCCTGCCTCCGGCCCGGGACTTTCTGGGGTCCTCCTCCAATGGTGGTGCACACAGGGGCCAGGGCCCACAGCCACCTTGGACTCTGGGGGGGCACGGGGTTTGGAGAGAAGCGGTGTGCTGTGGGGGTCACTGTCCTGGCCCTCCGTCAGTCCCAGGACTGCCTCCCGGGCCCACGTTTCCTTGTCTGCCTGCTTGTGGGCAGGCCTCGAGTTGGAGAAGTCTGCCCCCTCCTCCCTGTGCCCCCAAAATCAGAGACTTGAGGGTCTCTACAGGTGTCTGGAGGGACATCTGGCGATGTCCTGTGGGACTTTGGTGACAATGTCTGGAGTCTCCAGGGTCCTGAGACCAGGGGGCCATGGGGGCCATGTCTGGGGGTCCCAGGGCCCTGTCCTGCACATGGGGGCTGCAGGCCGCCTCCCGCAGCGGCATCCGCCTCCGCCTGGCGCAGAGGGGGAAGAAGCAGAAAGCCAGCTGCTGATAGAAGGCCGGGAGCCCCGGGAGCAGCTGAGGAGCGGTGCCCCCCCCCATTATTGTTTCTGGCCTGGCTGCGGAACAGCAAAACAGATTCCTTCGAAAGTAGTGCCTCCTGAGGTGGCCAAGCCATCGGCCCTGGGGCCCAGCGCCTCCTGTCCTCAGCTCAGTCCTCGCTCCCAGATGGCCCCAGCCCTGGCCCACCCAGGCCCATCTGCTGGGCTCAGGACCCCATCCCTGAGCCACCAACCCTGGGGCTGGCCTAGAACCCAGGCCTGGGACTATGCTCATCTACAGGCCCTGTCCTGGGGCGCCTGTGAACCTTGGGTCAAAGCCAGGGTGCCTCGGGTCAAGGGTCAATGCCGCCAAGTACATCCCTCCCCCCACCCGGAGGTGTCCATTTTCTAGGACTGTGGTGGCCACCCCGAGAGCCAAGGCCCTGGCGCTGGGGGCTGCCGCTGCCCTGGCCTGTGCAGCTCTGTGCCTGCCAACAAGTTCCAGCGGAACACAGGCTCAAGACGCTGGCGTTTCTGGGAGCATTTTCCCCTCTGCAAAGTCCAGTGGAGTTTTCAGAACCACATTCTCCCTCAGCCTCCCCTGGCCTCCTTCAGCCTTCCCAGCCTCCCCCAGCCTCCCTCAGCCTTCCCAGCCTCCCCCAGCCTCCCTCAGACTTCCCAGCCTTCCCCAGCCTCCCTCAGCCTCCCCAGCCTCCCTCAGCCTCTCCAGCCTCCCCCCGGCCTCCCTGGATAGCCTCCCTCAGCCTTCCCAGCCTCCCCCAGCCTCCCTCAGCCTCTCCAGCCTCCCCCAGCCTCCCTCAGACTTCCCAGCCTTCCCCAGCCTCCCTCAGCCTTCCCAGCCTCCCTCAGCCTCTCCAGCCTCCCCCCGGCCTCCCTGGATCCCCTGGGCCTCCCTTAGCCTCCCCAAACTCCCCTGGGCCTTCCCAGCCTCCCCCAGCCTCTGTCAGCCTCCCCTACCTCCTCTGGGCTTCCCCCAGCCTCCCTGGACCTCCCTATCTCCTATGGCCTCTCTCAGCCTCCCCCAGGCCTCCCCTGGCCTCCCCCAACCTCTGTCAGCCTCCTCTGCCTCCCCCAGCCTCCTTCAGCCTCCCCCACACTCCCCCAGCTTCCCCTGGCTTCCCCCCACCTGCTCCCACCTCCCCTGGCCCCCCTAGGTCTCCCCCAGCCTCCCCTGGCCTCCCCCCCAGCCCTCCTAGCCCATGGGTGGCAAATCAGGCTGGACCCAGCAGCCCTGCCAGCTTGGGGGTGCTCCGGCTGGGCCTGGGGCCACGGCCCTCGGCTCTGCAAGGCTCACCCTCACCGAAAGGGTCAGCCGGCGCTGGCCCAGCCCACGCCGAGGCCCACGGCCTCAGCAGCACTGCCAGGAGGCTGCAGAGACCCTCCCGGGGCCAGGGTCTTTGGCGCAGGTCCGGGGGTCAGTGGGGACAGGGATAGGAGGCGGCTGTGCAGGCTCTCTGAGCAGACAGGCCCTGAGCCCCGGCCCCGGGAAGCTTCCTGGCCTGTGAGGGCCAAGGGGCCTTCAGCAAGCCCAGGCAGGGGAAAGCAAGGCTCCAGGGGGCTGAGGCGTGGAGAGTGGGAGGGCCTGGCGCCCTTCAGCCCCAGCAGTGCCTCGCTGGCTCCTGAGGCCGGGTCTGGTTTGGGTCAGGAGGCAAGCCTGGGCAGGGGGACTTCCTGGAAGAGGCGGGACTTCCTGGAAGAGGCGACTCCATCCCTAGGCTCTATCCCTAGGCTTTGAGGAGCAGACCCAGTGGGGGACCACCCCAGGTTCATGCGTTTGTCATACGGGCTGTAGCACGCAGCTCTGTGGCCATGGGGGTGGGGTGGGACCCCTGGGGAGGGGCTGAGGACAGAGACTGCCAGCATGTAAGTGGTCCGCCGCTGTCTGGGCCTTGGGCCCCTTGTGAGGCAGGCCGTGCTGGTCTTGAGCCCCAGACCA